CTAGGCAAACATGAAAGAGTGTTAAATAATATTGATGTTCTATCTAAGAGAGTTATACAGAGATAAATAATACCATTGAAAAGTCGTAAAATTTATACAATGATTTTTATAGTCGGAGTCAGCCTACAGCAAGTCGAACTATAAAATCCATAGTGGAGGTAATTCAATTACTCCGTAGGTTAGGTGCGAAGCCACAAAACCATACAACTGTTGATTTCATGATGAAATCGTAAAGTTTATGATTGGTCATAAAATTAGAGTTATGCAAGAATGAATAAAGGTTCATCATCTTCCAGTTTTGTAATACAAAAACAATGATGTGTTTTTTTATATCAAGTGACGGGATGAACAAGTCATACGACTGATAATAAGCTATATGTATGTCTGTTCATAACAGTTGCAGTACCACTTAGAACTTTAAATCGCAAAGATTGCACTGCCACTGCGCCCGTCACCCTGAGACAGTCAGTTGTTGACAAGTCCTATGTGACTGTAATTTCACCAGCACTGTTACCCTTCAAAACCGGAACATAGTAATCCGGACATTACTGCTTGGCGGTAGAAATAGGTAAGTAAGCTTGTGAAAGAGTTCGTCCAGGGAAGTACCTTACCTATTTCTGCCGTCAAGGTGTAGTAATGTGACCACTACTGCGTTCCGGTTTTGAAGGGTAAAGGTGCTGATGAAATTACAGGCACATGAGACTTGTCAACTTATATCTGAGGATAACGGGTGCAATGGCAGTATCACTCAGATTTTTGCGATTTAAAGCTCTGAGGGTCGTATTCCAGAACTCTACTCAATACTGAAGTCAGGACTTGAGTATTGCAGTGAGCACTGAAAATCATACTCAAATCCTTGCGATTAGGGTCGTATTTCTATCGTATCTTGCTCTAGTACAAAGTTTACAAACCTATTGCGTTACTAGTTGGGGTGGGGCTGCTAAAGGTAATTTTATTCTTATAGAAAGAGCACAAAGAGCTTTACTAAAGGTTGCCTGCTTTAAACCCTACCGGTTCCCAACGAGAGATCTTTACTCTTTCTGTCAAGTTCTAACTGTTAGACAGTTATTCGTTCTCTGGACTGTTTTGAAGCAACATTCCCTCACTCCATACGACTGCGCCTCAAATAGACGACATTGCATAGTGGCTACTTCTGACCGTCTCAGGACTGCCTTCACTCATAGATTTTTCTGTTTCCTGGGATGTTTTCTGTACAATGCACCCCACCGTGAACTAAACATCTTTCAACTAAATAAGTTCGAATGTAAAAAGAAGTTGGCAAACTGGCTGCAAGAATTGAATTACGATGAAACTGAAGCTTTGCTTCATCCGATTGCATGACTCAAGGACCTATTTATTTATTTATTTTCGGAGCTTTGGGTAGAGTAGGATCTCTATATGTATATGTATATATATATATATATATCCGTAACTACGCACACGCGAGCACACACACACATACACACACACACACACACACACACACACACACACACACACACACACA